TAATAATAGCACCTACCTTATAGAGTCGTTATGATGATCAAATGACATAATATTCGTAAAAAGTACTTAGCATAGTGCCTGGCACATAGTAGGTGCTTATTTGCTCCACCTCCCCCAGCTCTAAATCTGAGGTTATTCATTTAATCCACAAGCATTTGTTATATGTCAAGTCAGGGAACTGAGCCCTGGCAATTCAATGACAAAAATGAAGCTATGCCTGCTTTCCAGAAGCTTACATTCTATTGGAGGAAACAACATGTTTCTACTGAAAGGAGACGCTAGATAAGTCATTGAAAACTATTTACAAAGAAATTATAAGGGAGGCACTAACAACTAGGGAGGATCCGGAAATGTCTTATCTTGGAGGGAACATGTGAGCAGAGCCTTGAAGGGGGCTAGAGATGCCAAGAGGTGGAGGTGAGGAAGGGTCAAATGCCAGGGAAATCTGGACACAGGCACAGGGACTGAGATGGAATGTCATGTACAGGGAACAGCAGGTGAACCAGTTTGACTGGACCATAAAGTATATGAGAAGGAGTAATATGAGATGAGTCTGGAAAGATAGGTCGGAATCAGATCATTAAAATGTCAGACAGGGGAATGGACATTTTATCCTGGAGGCAATAGGCTGCCGTTGACATTTTTTGAACGGGAAAATGATACGATCAGACCTGTGCTTTACAAGGATTATCATTCTGGCAGTTGTGGAGAGCCTGGATTAGAGAAGGGAAGAGATCGGAGGCAAGAAGACCAATTAGGAGGTTATTGCCATATAATCCTGGCAAGAAGTGATGAGGGCTTGAATTAGGGAGTCATCTGTGTGAGTAGAAAGAAGGGAACAGATCTAAGAGATGTTGTTATTGAGACAGAATTGGCAAGAATTGACAACTGATTGGACACGGGGAGTAAGGGAGAGAGAAGAATCCAAGATAACCTTGAGGTTATAAGTTTGAATGGTTAGAAACAGTGAAAATAGGAAGAGGGATGGGTTGGTGAGGGGAGATAATAAGTTCTGTTTTGGACATGTTGAATGAATTTTTGAGATGCCTCATGGGATATGCAGTTGGAGTTATCCAACAGGTCAATCAATCAACATTTATGAAGCACCTACTATGTGCCAGGCACTGTGCTAACCACTGGGGATATGAACAGAAGCAGGTGGTTGGTGATACAAGCCTGAAGCTCAGAAGAGAGACAAGGACTGAATATATAGAGCTGGGAATGATGTCCATAGAGATGATAATTGAGCCTGTAGGAGCTAATGAGGTTGGCAAGAGAGAGGGTGTACAAATCCAATCTCAGACATATAACACTCACTAGCCATGTGACTCTGGGCAAGTCACTTAACCCCTCACCAAAAAGAGAGGAGGGGGTGTAGATATAGAGAGAGAAGGCTCAGGCAGAACTTTGAGGGACATCATGGCAGGATTTGAGTGATGATCCAGCAAAGGATTCTGAGAAGCAGAAGCCAGGTAAGAGGAGAATTAGGACAGAGCATTGTCACAGAAACCCAGAAAGGAGACAGTATGTAGGAGGAGGGGGCTGTTTGGTCATGTCAGAAGCTTTAGAAAAGTCAAGAAGGATAAGAGCTGAGAGAAATCTGTTAGTAATGAATTCTAGTAAGCAATTAATAGACCATTAGTAACCATAAAGAGAGTATTTCCATTGAGCGATGATGAGGTTAGAAGCTAGATTAGAATAGGCAGAGAAGTAAGTGAGGGGAGAGGAAAGGAGGAAATATATTGGACAATAGCTTGAGGGGATGGTAGGCTCAAGGGGAGGTTTTTTAAAGGATGAGGAAGACCTGGGCATGTTGATGAGCAGCAGAGAAGGAGCCAATAGATAGGAAGAAATGGAAAATTTAAAACTGAGCGAAGATAATTGAGGTGGCAGCTTGATAGAGGAGATAGGAGGGGATGAGGTCAAAGGGGTAAGAATAGGGGTTGATCTTGGTGGGAAGGGTCACCTCTTCATTAGAGGCTGAGCAAAGAAGAGGATAAGAAACAGTGGCAAGAGGGTGACAAGGGGTTTTGAGGTATAGAACAGAGAGGAGGGGGTGAGCAGAGGATGATCACAGCAAAATGATTTATATTTTGAAATGAAGTCCTTTGCTGAGAGAAATGAGAGGCTTGAGCAGAGACTAGAAGCTTTGGCATAGCCACTGTGGGCAACATGAGAGAGACTGTATTAGGGAAGAATAAAAGGATTGCCATGCAGCAGAGCCCAGTTGAGATCAGATGACATAAATTTGTAGTGGACCCAGTCCATGTGGTATGTGATTTCTTCCAGGGCTATTAGACCTGGAAGATGTGGGGGAGGGTAATTCAAGGCTTAGAAAGGGATGAAGACAGGAAAAAGATGATTGGTTGGGACGATAGGAGGATTGATTGCCAGGTATAATGCTAACTATGCTACAAATACTATACTACATTATACTATACATATAAACTATACTACACAAATATCATACTATAAATACCATGAATGATAACTTGCATTACTCTAGCCACTTAGGATTTTCAAAGTGTTTCCTGCAGAGCAACTTAGTGAGGAGAACATTGGATTTGGAGCTCAAAGACTTCAAAGTTTAAGTCTAGATTTTGAAGCTTACTAGCTGTGTGGCCATGGACAGGTCACTTTGCTCTTTGAGCCTCAGTTTCTTTATCTGTAAAATGAGAATAATAAGATTTACACTACCTACTGTACAGGCATATAGTGAATAAATCAGTCTGTAAACCTTAGAACAGATAATGGTGAGTTATTGTTACAGAGGGGCAGCTAGGTGGTATAGCGGATAGAGCCCCAGGCCTGGAGTCAGGAAGTTCAAATCTGGCCTCAGATACTTATTAGCTGTGTGACCCTGGGCAAGTCATGTCACCCTGCTTGCCTCAGTTTCCTCATCTGTAAAATGAGCTGGAGAAGCAAATGGCAAACCACTCCAATATCTTTGCCAAGAAAACCCCAAATGGGGTGGTGAAGAGTCGGACAACATAAAGAGTCAGAAACAACTGAACAATTGTTATTGATGATAACAACAAGAAGAATGTTAGGAATAATAATAACAGGATAAGAAAGGCAAGGCTATTGAGCCCAGAGCTTATGCTACTATTAATGATTAAATAGAGTGATTTTAGGCTTAATCCCAGGCTTTGTTCCTGTGCTTCACAAAAAGTTTTGTTTTCATTCCTATCCCTTAAATGCTAAGAAAGAAGCACTTTGAAAAAAATACAACCATGGCGTCATTCTGAGCTAAGGGGGAAAATGCCCAGGTAAGGCAAGGGATAGTAGCAGCAGTAAGGGGAGATAATGGAGTAGCTGCACCCCTATATTTTGGGGGTGTCCATAAGTAAAGGTTAATTGGCATGACAGCCCCCAGCTGGGAGCAAGTTTGGCTCATTTCCTTTCTCACGATTTAACAAATGTGTCTTCATTCTAGCCCAGGGGTATTGCATGAAATGATTGAGACAGAAATGGAGAAGCAGATGCACAGATACCCAGACTCACATCAACACACAGAAAACACATATCCCAACCTTCCCCTTCTCCAAACAGACACACCAGCCTCTGGAGATGCCAACTTGTCAGCCTGACACATTTCACAACCCCCATTTAGATAACTGCGTTAAGGTTTGAGCATTTTCATCGTCTCTGGAGCTGGGAGGAACCTTACAGTTCTGCCAGTCCAAACTCTCATTTTGCAAAAAGAGGAACCCAGAGCCATGAGAGAGGCAGTGAGCTGCTAAAGATGCCGCACAAACGCAGAGCAGAGGAGATTCAAACGCTGATCTTGTGACTTTGTATTGCACCTCAGTCCAGCCTTCCTTCCCACCCCCCATGAAGCAAGACAAGGCAAGTACTCTTATCCCTGTTTTAACTTGGGAAGAAAGCACAAAGAAGCCCAGCATCACGCAGCTCAGTAAATAACAGAGTGGGAGCCTGAAGTCAGTTTTTCTGACCCCATTACCACTGCTCTTTCAACCACTCCACACTGTTTAGATAGTGCAGAATTGCCAAGTTACAGAGCTCAGGAATCTTATCCGCAGATCTCCTTAATCTAACCATAAAGACCAGCACAGCTTCCAGAACTAACTAGCCCAGTGTCTTGGTCTAGAAACTCTGGGGTGTGGCCTGCATTAGGAAGGAGTGAAAAAAGAAGCCCAGATAGGACTGTGTCTGGGGTTCCTCGGAAGGAACGGACTCAATTCTTGTCTGGGGGTGGTTTCTTCAAGTTTCTCAGTGTTTTCCCTTGGAGAACATCAGAAATGCACCAAGAGCAGACTAGAATGGGAGAAGATGTCACAAAAGGGACAGCTTGGGGAAGGGCTTAAAAGGAGGTCATCAGCTATCTCCCATTCGGGATCTCAGTTTCCTTCTCAAAAAAAAGTAAGAGGGTTTGACTAGACAGTCCCTAAAAGTCCTTTGCAGTTCTGACATTCTATATTCTTTGTCTTAACATTCAATATTGTAAGGTCCCTTCCAGCTCAGACATCCTATGTTCTTTGTCTTAACAATATTCTATATTTTAAGATCTCTTCCAGTTCTGACATTCTATGTTCTGTATCTTAACATCCCATATTCTAAGGTCCCTTCCGGCTCTGATAATCCATGGTCTGACATTTTAAGTTCTAATGACCCTTCCCCAGATTCCATGTTTTAAACTCAGATATTCCACATTATGTTCTCTAAGGTTCCTTTTACCTCTGACTTTGACTTGATATAAAGGAGAGTTTATGGGCAGGGTATATATGAGACTCAGATTTTTTTTTTTTTAGAGCACCACTTGACAGAGAATGAGGCTTCCTTCTTGGGTACCGCGTCAAGGATTATGTGTGTATTGGGGGGAGAGGTAGGCATGGGCAAAGCTTGGTGAGAAATCTCCCTCCTTCCCTCGTATTTCCAGCACTCTAAGGCTTATTCTGGCTTTAGAGACCGATGGCTTCCCTCCTGACCCAAAATCCAGCACCCAGCCTCCCCAAGGCCCATGCATCCCAGCCCCCGACCTGCAGTGATGTTGAGAAGCTTGCAGGCAGTCTCGATGTCTTTCAGCACCTCCCCGACCACCATGGATTGTACTTGCTCCAACGAGTGTTCCTCCAGGGTCAGGTTGCCTGGGGAGTAGTCTAGACCTGCCCCCTGGGCCTGGCTGTCGATGATGGGGCACTGCTCTGGCTCCTTGGGGGCCTCCTCCTGGTCCTCCTCGACTGGACCCTTTCCCCCCCAGGTTCCCTCTTCAGGGTACAGCATATCAAAGTAGGAGAGATAGAAGGCCGATAAACCCTGCTCAGGTGTGGCAGGGGGGCTGGGGCTCCAGACTCTCCTCTCAGCCCCTGACCCCTTTTCCAGGCTGTTCTGCAGCCCTGTATCAGGCAAGAGGAGGCGGCTTGGTGGCGGGGCACTCAGGCCAGGGCTGGCGCTGCCCATGGCTCCACTCAGGTTGACCGAGGTGTCTGTGGAGGATAGGAGAGTAAGGATTTCAGCTTCATCTCCAAAGTCCCGCTCCCTCAGCAGGGGATGCTAAGCCTGTTAGGGGGATAAGGGGCTGGGCAGGTACCCTGCCTGGCTCAGGGAAGGCAGGGGAGGGAGCTCTGTGGCTTCAGGGTCATTGGGCAGTGAGAGGACCCAGACATGCTGTGGAAGACACAGACAATCCACTGGAAAAGGGAAATGCACCATGGCTAGGGGAGAGAGAGGGTGAATGAAGGCAATGTATTCTGGCCATGTCTCCCATGTTAGGGATCAAGGAGCAGAGGGAAAAGAACTTCACCTTCACCAGAGGATGCTGATGAGAGAAGGGGAAGTTGTGTATAGATTTGACCTCATGAGTCTCTCTAGGAAGGAGAAACACTTCAACAACAACAACAACAACAACAACAGTAATGATAATGAGAATTGACATTTCCATATTACTTAATATAAGTTAATCAATTACTATATTAATTAATAATTATTAATTATATAATTAATTAATGCTTAATATAATCACTTAAACTAAGCAGTTTACAGATGTGATTTCATTTGATCCTCACATAGCTCCATGATATAGGAAGCACGGCAATAATTATTCCCATTTGAGAACTGAGGAAACGGAGGTTCAGAAAAATTAAGTAAATTGCCTCGGTGAATGCAGAGTCAGCTCTCCTGACTCCTCATGGTTAGATCCTCACTCTTACCCTCTACCGACACCGACTTACCTCTAAGACCCAGGTCCCCATCATCAGGAGCTGGAAGGTGTGGATTTGAATTCCAGTTCTGCCCCTTATTACCTGGGTGACCTTGGATAAGTCACTCTCTGTCATCTGTAGAATGGAGTTGGACTAGATGACCTCTAAGGTCCCTTCCAATTTCAAATCCATGGCCCTATAGTCTCCTATCTCCTCTGGCCTTATTCCTCTGCTGCTCACTCAATCAGGAAACACCATCAAGAAATATTACTGTGCAGCCTTCTGCCTCCAGGCTAGGCCCCTAGCGTAAAGGGGCTTAACTGTACTTCAGTCCTCTGACCTATTTCTTTAAAAAAAAAAATTTCTCTACTTCTTTCCTGAATAACTTATCCTAGTACCGGAGTGTAAATAGCAATTGTTTCTGTTTTGGCCAGAAACTCTGAGAGGCTTCCCCTTCCTGATTGAGATTCTTCTATGCCAGCAAAGCAGGCCATCTTTTAACCTTGATTCTTACCTAGCCTTGAATCACTGAATGGGTGTTGCCTCAGACAAACTGAGATCTGGGAAATACCTTAGCTTAACAAGGCCGAGGTCTCCCACTGCATCCCGGGCTATTGACAGTCTTCCTGACCTATGTCTTGCCACTGGACTCCGATGACCCTGAAGAGAAAGTGTGGCTGGTGACTTTGCATAGCTCTGCCTCACTGAAATCCAACTCACTTGCAAGTCAAGACATCACCTTCCTGAAGTCATTAGCCCTTTTCTAGAACCAATCCTACTATGCCTCACCCCACCTCCACACATATACATACACAGATGAGGAATTGCCTTCAGAAATCTAACTTCAATCCTTCCTGTTTCCTCTTATTCTGTCCTCAGAGACAAGGCAGAGAACAGAACAAATTACCTCTAATTGTACCATATGTAGTAAATATTTAACAATTGGTTTTTTGGGGGTAGGGGGAAAGGTATCCAAGATACACACTTTTAAGATTAATCTGCATTATTAACATTTTCTCTATCACTTTCTCAAGTCTAGACAATCAATAAAACAATAAATCAAGCCCTGGTTTGTAGTATTTGCACATTTCCGAGGCGTAGACGCTCATGATGAAAATTTTACTTTGAAATATTCACCTTGGGCAAATTTAATTTTCCTGGGCCTCGGTTTTCTCATCTGTAAAATGAGAGGTTGGCTTGGATGATCTCTGAGGTCCCTCTAAGATCTTATGACTTGTAGGAGAAAACAAGTGACTGAAAATGAATGGAAAAAAGATTCTTATCAAGGACTTGGGAGAGGACGGCTCTAAAGTCGTTAGCCACTTCATGCACAGAAGTCAGTTTAAATGTTAAAAGCTTTGTTGTTTTAGCCATTTATTTGGTTTTTTTTTCAGTCTACCAAGCAAAAGCTACCAAGCAATTTAGTTGGTTGTACTGATGTTTAATATTAAATTAAATTAAATTAAATAACCCCACTCCTTCCCCAGCCAAACTTGCCTGGTTTAAGGGTAAGGCTACATAAGTGATATATATTTATATATGTGTGTGTACACATATATACACATGCATAATATACATGTATGTATGTGTATAGGTATATATGTGTGTACATACACATGTATAATTTTATTTTTTCCCAATTATATATAAAGATAATTTTTAACATTAATTTTGAGTTTCAAATTTTCTCCCTCCCTTTCTCACTTCTCCCCTCCCTAAGATGATAAGCAATTTGATATAGGTTATATATGTGCAATCACTACATCAGTTTTTTGGTTTTGTTTTTGTTTTTTATTCCTTTTTTTTTTTTGGCTAGGCAATGGGGTTAAGTGACTTGCCCGGGGTCACACAGCTAGTAAGTGTTATGTGTCTGAGGTCGGATCTGAACTCAGGTCCTCCTGAATTCAGGACCAGTGCTCTATCCACTGCGCCACTTACCTGCCCCCACTACATAAGTTTTTAATAAAACATTTAATTTTTTTAAATTGTGAATGCTTTGTCAAGGAAGAGATTTGACCTGTGGGAGTCTAGACTGCTGCTGTATGCTGGTGGTCTTGATAAGCTAGACTCCACTCCTTTTTTTTCTTAGGATAGACATACTTATGGTGGGATTTCAGAGGCATAGGAAGAGCATAGGATTTAGACCCAGAAGGGACCTTAAAGATTGATCACCTGAGATATTAGAGACAATTTAGTCTAATCTTTTTATTTTTACAGCAGAGGAAACTGAGGTCAGGGAGGACAAGATTACACAGGTAGTGGCAGAACTGAGATTAAAATCCTTGATGTAAGCTCCTTGACGGTAAGGACTGTTTCTTCTTTCTCTTTGTGTCTTCATATAGTTCTGGCACATAGTTGAAGCTTAATAAATACTTGAAGGATTGATTTTGACTCCAAATCAGAACTCTAGAACTCCAGAAATAAAATAACAATCCAACACAGAGCTTTCTGGACTCCTCATTGTTCCTTCTCAGACCTCTCAAAACCCTCATCTGATGATAACAACCTATGATTTGCAAAGCTCATTGCATATATTATTTCATTTAATCCTTACAACAACACTGTAAGGCAGATGCTATTATCTCCATTCTATAGATGAAGAAACTGAGGCTGAGATGTTAAGTGATTTGAACAAGATCAGCTAGTAAGTGCCAGAGGCAGGATTTGAACTCAGGTCTTCCTGACTCCAAGCCCAACACTATCCACTGTGACAGCTTCTAACATCTCTTGTAAAATAAGGAAAGTTTATTCTTGATCTTCCTAATAACCTGTTCTCTCTTCAATCTCATCCCAGATTGAGGGTCTTCAACTACCCATCTTCTCAGGAGGGCAGTTGATTATCTCCTTAGGGAATAACCATCATGGTATAGTGAGTAGAACACTGGCTCTAGAGTAAGGAAGGCCCTGGTCTGACTCCTACTGAAGCTGGGCAAATAACAATCTCTCTAGGCTTCAATTTCCTCCTATGTGATATGGAGGGTGGGGTTGGACTCAATGATCTGTAAAGTTCATTACTATTCTAAATACATGATACTACCTACAATCCTTTGATATGTTCATTCATGCTAAAATATTAAGAACTCAACCTCCCATTCCTCCAAACGTGTTCAAAGAGGGCACAAAAAGAGGATGATGTTTAACTCAAAGGAATGAATCAGGAAAGCAAGGAGGATTGAGCTCCATGACAGCTAAGGAAGGGTCTTTTCCAGCATTCTGCAGATTCCTTATCATCAACCTTCAGGCACCAAGGTCAGTAAAGGAGACATCTAGGGACGAAGACCTTCCTTAAACCTCAAATCCTAAATCCCAAATCCTCCTTTGGCATAAGAAGACCCCTACCCAGGTCCTCATGGACAGAACCAGAAGAATAAAGATACAGCTTGGGAATTGAATCTGGCTTTCTAGAGATTGTTAGTAATGACAAGGAGAGGAGGGGGGGAAAAAAAGAGGTTTCCCTTGGCTATCACTCCCTTCCTTGGGTTACTTTAAGTGACAAGGTCTGAAAGGTCAGAATTGGGTGCGGTGTGACAGGCGTGGGGGGGTGGGGGGGCGATTCAGAGGGAAGGTCTGGAGTGAGTTCAGGTCCTTCTGTGCAAACACATGTGTGTGCTGTGGGATGAGGTTATTTACCTAGGTATTCAGGACAAGCTGCACCAACAGCCTGGCTCTCCTTGTCCTTCTGTTCCCCACCTCCTAGACCCACACCCTTACCCCTACCCCAAGTCGGTGCTCCATGAACAAAGGTGGGGGAGCCCCTAGAGGTCCATGCCACTCAAGTCTATTTCCCATTCTCCACCATTTTCTTCCTTGTATTCAATCTGGCCATATCCTTTTCCCCACCCCACCCCCATCTCTGCCACGTTAGGGCACACACTGCCAGTTCTGCTGGGCTTCTTGCCAGGAAGAGCAGGATTTTTCCAAGAAGCAGGAGAACTCACTCCCCCTCGTGCTGTGGCTATGTTCTTGGCATCAATCATGTGTAGGAAACAGGGATGGCTGCTGGGCTTTTGGGTTAGGGCAACAGGAGGATGGATAGGTTGGGGAGTGGCAGTTTGCCTACTTTGGGAAATAGGGAGCAGAAAAAGATGTCCCCTTTCCCATGCCTACACACCTATAACTCAGTCTCCTTTCATAAGCTCTCCTGCTCATTAAAGGACCAAAAAGCTTTGACTTAATCCTAGCTCCAAGATTTCCTTTCGGATCACTATTTCCCAGTGAAAGAAAAGTTAATCATTAACCTTAAGGCTGCATAAAAGGCCCAATTGTCTGAAGGTCGTACAGAAGGT